GAGGACAACAAGGCAGGAAAACACAATATGTAAATCAGACTTAAGGCTTCATATTGGATCTGTGTCAGTGCTGATTCTTTAAAGTGTAATTATGTGAACTAAACAAATATTAATTCCCTTCCCATCACATCACAATGTTTTTAATGCCATAGAGATACCTGACCTCGTGTTATCTTAGGGATATCAAATTGGAAAAAGACAGCACTGGTAAATACATAATGAGAAAATGATGTGAAGTTTTGGAGACACTTATCCACCTGATTTTTTTTTTCATGGACCAGCTATCTACTGAAAAGCAAGATAACAACAGGATTTTGAGGCTCATGCATGCGTCTTTATAAGCAAAACAAATAAGCGAAAATATTCTTGCATGTTTGGACCAACTGCATCCAAGTTTGGAAAAAGATTATTACTATTGTGATTATTATTATCTCTGATGTGTTGCCATTCAGAAAGGCACAAGAAGTTTTGAAGACTTTTGAACAAGTTTAGTTTTGTGCCAACACTTTTGGTTGGGCCTTCTGATAATGCAGCATGACTTTGCCCATTTGCTCGAGGTGAGGACATTAAAGACGTGGTTAAGGGGGGTTGGTGTGGAGGAACTTACTAAACCTGCAGGGAGACGGACTACGAGCAAAATAAACACATTTGGTAGGAGTCAGAGCACAAAGTATTGACATTCATTACCCAGGTAGAAGTATAGATACTATGGTTTAAAAAGACTTCTGTATCAACTCAAGCTTTTTACTCAAGTAAAAGTGTAAAAGTACTGGTTTCAAAACTACTTCAAGTATAAAAGTAAAAGTAATGTAAGGGGGAAAAAAATGCCATTAAGGACAAAAGCTTAGGCCACGCCACAGGGGCCTATAGTGCACTACCGCTCCCCAAAAAAACATTTTTCTAAAAGCCATAATAACTATAATGTTATATTAAATTGTTAATGTTGAAATATTTGAGATGCACCTGTTTCAGCCACATTTATGCCCATTGAAAATTAATGCATTTTAGTACAAATACATTAAAGAACCATATCTGTGTACTACTGAGCATTAACATGTGTTTCATGGAGCGGAGGATATGATGACTAGTTGCCTATAAGTATTGTAATGGTGCAAAAAATCTAACTTCAGAGGCATGTTATCAATAGTCTTTATTGGAATGTAAATGTACATCCAAGCTTAGCTGCAGGAATCTGTGAGGGCAACAGATGTAAGATAACAAAACTGGACAAGAAAATTGGTGTACCCCAGGGCAGGCTTAGTAACAATTACCCTTGTATGGTTGTCTCTGCCACGGACATCTTCGTACTAGGCTACATACGTCTGCTGTTTCCTTGCTGGAGTGCGACGTGATTTGTGTCATGTGCAGGTGCAATGGATCACGTGCAAACCAATAGGGTGTTGGAATGGTATATGTTTATACTTCTCATCCAACCACAATCAAATTCACTCTATCCGGATGGCGTGATTTATCTGGATCGGTTTTATTTATTTTTTTGAACGATGACAAGCCGGAATAAAAACAAGCCGAAATGAAATAGGAGTAACAAGGCTGTTTTTAGCCTAGAAAGTGCAGATAACTGCGTGAAAATGTAAGTAGTAGAAGTAAAAAGTCGGCTGAAAAATAATTACTCCAGTAAAGTATAGATACCCAAAATTTCTACCTAAGTAAGGTAACAAAGTATTTGTACTTAGTTACTTGACACCTCTGCTCGTTGGTACCAATATTCTGACCTCACAAATGCTCTTTTGGCTGTTATAAAGTCAAAGAGTATTCCATATATACTGTAAATACCCATAGGATCAGAAAAGTACGTCTCACAAGCTGATAAAGGTGTGATAGTGATGTGTCTACTTTCTTTTGGAAAATAGTTTCTTTAAATCTGCACTATGGAGTTTTGGAAGAGAAATGTGAAAGTTGGAGAAGTGTACAGATTCTGTGGTATATGTTCATAACTCTAAACACAAACTCTCCTCAGAGGAACATTTTGTCCCTGGAAAACAGTTTGAAGATAAAATGCTCCATGAGTAGTTATGTTGAGGGGCCTGCAACAGTGAAACCGTAACTCTCCTGGTCGGTTTTTTAGCTCCAAACAGTGTTCAGGAACCCATTATTTCCTTTGAATAAAGTTTGTTATTTAGTTCAGAAAAGATAGCATAGAATTGTTTCACTTCTCCAACTTTCAAATGTCACTACCAAATCTACATAGTGCACCTTTAAGAAGATGAACACATGTTTTTAAATGTAGTACATCAATAAGGGAAAGACAAGTAGATGACTCTGTGTGCATTTGGTATCCTTTGCTGGATGTGACTGAGCTGAAAGATGAATTCATTAATTTAAATATAAAAACAGCTACACCCACAGTACCTGTTCTTTGAGGAGGTTTCAGTGTGTGCTGAGGAGTCACACTGATCGAAGTAGCTGCCTCTGTTTTGGTGTGAAATGCTGCATTTTCATAGAAGGGAGCGTGCTTCACAACCTGCTTCACTTCCTTGTTCTTTTCCAACTGTTTGATAAACTTGGGGGGATATATGGGTGCTTTGGGTGATCTGGCTTCAGGAGAGCTTGTTGGAGGAGGAGGTGGAGGAGTGCGAGGACGGGTCCGGTTAACAGGAGGAAGAAGAGCTAAATAAAAAACATAAAAAACAACATATACCACATCACCACATATACCACATTACCCTAACCCCCCTTATATGCAGTCGCTGTTAAACTGAGAACATTAACTTGCAACTGTGAGCGAACACAAAACAACTGGTGCAGAGTCGACCTTTGTGCTGTGAAGAAAATGTGACTCAGGATGCAGATGGCTTTTACCGAGCAAAGCAAAGTACGTGTGAAAAATATCTGCTCTGAGACAGACAGGAGAGGTTGTGTGTGTCACTGATTACATAACAAATAATGGTACTTAACTTACCACTCAACTCAAATCCTCTGTTTTAAAGAAAAACACACATGCAGTATCATTTCACATCAAGAGTGACTTTGTCAAAACAGTTTTAGTGTGATTTGGTATGTTACATGCCGTAGTGGTCTGTGTGTTTGTGTATGACTTCTTTAGTCTTTTGTACAATGAATACTTTAATTAATGACATCCTGTATTTCCCAGAATGCTTTTAGACCTGCACCCGACTCAAGGAATAAACTGACTCTAAAATCTTTTGTTTTTTTAAATGAAGATTACATTAAAAAATAACTGGCTATCTATGGAATAGAAAAAAACTACAACTAAACAGCAAAGTGGACCCAGAAATGTGACACTTAAAAAAAAAACAATGTTTAAAATTTCAATCAGTCTTTACGATAGTTTGAAAGAAATCCCAACCTGAGCGTTTTATGACTCGCTTGTCGTTCTTCTGAGTCACTGATGGTGGCACGTAAACCAACCCACAAGCAAATTCCATTATAACTCCACCTGTCTGCGAGGAAAAGGACATGTATTCATTATGTTTTCACATGTGACAACAAATACTATATGAAAGACGCCGAGACAAAGTCATTTAAAACATGATAAAGAAAACAATCCAGCCTTATCAAGCAATTACAGTCGTTATGGCATTCAGTTTCTAACATGTTGACACACCTTTAAGAAGCATTCACACTTAGTTCAGACAACGCTGCCTACATTAATCAATTGTGTAGCATTAATAAAAAATAGATCTTTACACAATATTCACAGCAGAGACGTACTTACTCATGCAGAAGGTTTTCAGTGCTGACCCAACAGTACAACCACAACCAAAGGAATGTTTCAGCCCCTGTGTGACGTCTTGTCATTCACTAGTTCTGTCTCAGACATCTCGTCTAACAGGTTTCTGTCCTCAACAGTTTCACTACCATACAGTGAAGCTGCTGTGGGTGGTCACTGATTTAACACGTATTTCCTAACTCTAGTTAAACATTTCATGAACGTAAATAAAATGAGTTGAGATTGAGAAACAGAGCCATATAATGTTGAAGGTCAATATGACTCATATTGATAATAATAACCTTTCAAAGTAAAAGACAAACTGATTAACTGACTTTCATGTAAAAATGATTTCCTGCACAGAGATTACACTTGTGAATCAGTTTTATTGTATAATACTTTTATGTTCCTATTTATATACTGTATGTGTTCAAAAAGTGGAAAAAGTTGTAAAACTTCTTAAGACCATTTTTATAATGAAGACAAATACACGTTATTTATTTTGACTCAGAAATAAAGACAGAGCATAAAAGTCCTACCTAAGCCAAACAGGACTTTGTGTTTTAACAACTGGTTGTTTTAAGTATTTTTCTTAGCCAATGTTTGTGTCATACATTCAAATTTATTTACATAAGCAGCTTAATTTAACTTTTAATTACATTAATAAATGACTTGTATTATAATAGAGATATGTTTGAAACGTGTGGCACATATTCATACTTATACGTTTTTGCTTTTAATTTCTTCTTTGTTCTTTGTTGTTGTTTGTTTTAAAATAAGCTAACATCGTGCAATGCTAGCACTTCTTAAATGTTGTAATTATCCAGCATAGCTGTGATAGGATCTGTATGCTAATGTCAAACCACTTACATAAGTGACAAGCACATTGTATTTATCACAAGACCATTTAACCATTTAACTACCCTTTGTCCTTAAATCTGATATTATTACAATGCTAATGAATGTTTTAGCATGCTAACATGTGCTTTAGCCTATAGGCTAAACAAAGTACAGTTGTGGTTGATGAGTATGTCACTAGTTTGGTAATACAATAAAGTACTAGATACATTTAAAAAGTCACCTCCAGATGGTGCTAAATTAAAAGTCAGGCAACAGTTGTTAATAGGATTCATTCTCTAATACCTATTATTGTCTGGAAAAATGTTGTTCTGTTCTGTCAAGTAGGCTAGAAGCTGAATAGAGCTATTAGTTTTAAATCAAGCAAACAGGGTCCATTACTACACTACACTGACTAACATCCAAAGAGCCACACAGCTAGCATTGCACAAAAACTGCTGACACGACAGACTAGAGGTAAAACAATTACACTTTTATTTGAAAATCCACTCCCTCAGTCAAAGTGACATCACATAATACTTATTAGGTATACATTAAGCATGTGTGCATTGTAAACCTGCGCCTGGCTTAACCTCATTAACCTCGATCAGCGACCTGATGATTCAGACATGAGGGCAGTAAATAAATATCTCCTCTTGTTTTCTCCTTTTTGGTATTAACCTGCACATATGCATGCAAACAAACATACACACTTACACATACAGCTCCTGCACAAACAATACATCTAGTCTTCGATAAGTTATGTCTATATTGCAGAAGTACTCAAACCAAACGGTTAGAATATTAAAGCCTTAGGTAACAAATTTGACATAATCTGCAGGTTAATTTCTGGAAACATGTTTGACTCTGTGAGAGAAAACAGATAATATCAATAGTTTAATCTTTATATCTGAAAACTAACTCTGTGAGAAATAAGTTTGGGACACATTATATATTAGACAGTGAGATATCACTCCACGGCTTCAACATAGTTCGCGGGGTAGAAGCCCTCCTTTCCCCCGGTGAGGACTCCTCGACACCAACCCTGGTCGTCCTCCTCCTCCACCTTCAGGAACACTTCACCTGAGATGATATTTAAAGAATAAACACAATCAGAGAAAATGAAAGTCTGGTGAAATGCAACATCTTGTGGCTGTCATTCAGCATATCAAAACCAAGTTTGACGAGATTTTGTGCACTTTGACTTTAAAGTTTTCATCAAATCTTAGAGGTTGTCATTTGTCCCCTCCTTTTTATTTGTCACTAATATAATGGTTTGACAAGATTGACCAAGTAAGATCAAAACTTCCCTTCAAAATTGTGTAGATGTTGTTCCTGATTAAACCACTAGAGACCTTTTCTAAATAAAAGCTATACTGTCATGTATAATGTCATGCACTTTGACTGTCAGGTTGGATTCGATCAGTTTTATAACTACACAAGAAAGTCAGTTTATGTCTTTCATTCAATTATATCTCCCAGGACAATTTTAGTTGATCTTCTTGTCTTCGCAGGATGTGAATCATTTTTCCGACCACAGTGCTTTGAAATTTTAATTTCACTTTTGACGCACCACCCTTTGATAAAAAACAAAAACAAACAACCAAACAACATAACAATTTTGAATTATCTTTGATACTGGTGAAAATTCAGATGATTTGGTGAAACAAGCTTTAATACTCAAACTTCTAAACCAAGAAAACATCAGCAAATTGTCTACCATTACTTCAGATAAATACAATTTTGAAACCAGAACATTTCCGTCTTCCAGCACAGTAATAGTTGTAATAGTTTGAAAGTCTTCCCTGTTGAAGCTCACACACTGACCAAACGCACAACTTTCTTTGAACATCAAAGTGTGGTCACATCAGATTGGATGTGTTACCTGCTTTAAAGGACAGCTCATCTCCCTCCTCTCCCACGTAGTCGTACAGCGCTCGCACCTTCACGCCCCCGATCATCACACTAACAGGAGGAAACATGGATATCTGATCAGAATAACAAACTCCTTTTTTAAAAAAAATTAGTAATCATTAAGTGGATAACTCACGGTCGGCTCTCTTTTCTCCTCTGCTCTCTCTTCTTTCTATTTAGCTTTTTCACAGGTGGGACCCATTCCTGTTGGAAGAGAAACACATAAGACATTTTTAGTTCTTAATGTTTGTTATGTTCTTTCTTATCTTTCTTCTGATAAGAATTAGACCTATTTATGTATCTATCTTTTTTTTGATTGTATTAATGAATTTCCTCAAAGCAGTGGGGTGACGCTCAGTCACATATATACCTCAATCTTGGGCCAGTCAGTGGGCATGCCGGGCCCATGGTTGTTCTTCCACCATTTAGCGTCATCCTGGTCACTGATGGACATCAGGGTTTGGTGCAGCTCGCTGTACACAGCCTTCACACTGACACAAGGACACACAGCTGCTTTGTTATTAAAAGAAAACACTGCTCTCTGCCCTCATTTATAAAAAGCTGATTTCAAAACACTGGAAGAACAAAGAGGCCCCTTCTCTTCATACTTGGAAAGAATTGATGAGATATTATTTGACTGTAGAAAAGGTTTTATGTGAAGATTACAACAAGGTTAAACAATCCAATGTCGTATGGAAGTGTATCAAAGAAGCATTATAAAATCTATGAAACAATCTGTGACATGGCTGGCAGGAGAGGGGGGAAGGCAGTAGAGAAAGGACGTGTGTGTGTGTGTGTGTGGGTGGATGCGAGGGACGAGATTTGTTTGACATGAATGAATGGGACATTAATGTACATGTTTCTATATTTATTTAATTATATATTTTTTGTGTGTTGGGATATAAAGGTCAATATCTCATGTTATCCTGATTCACTCTTGAAAAGTGTAAACTAAGTTAAATGTTATGGTATTATTTTGGTTGGTACAAACTTGTAAGTATGACTGATGGAAAGCACGAAAGTAATAAAAATAATTATACAAAAAAAAAAAACACTGCTCTCTGCATTTTGATAATAAAGTGGCTGATACTGAAATGGTTCAAATGTATTAAGGTACTATTATTGTTCAGAAGTTATCACCTTAATCACACATGCAATACAATCAGCTGTATTGCACTACAGAGATCTGCAGTTTATGAACGCACTTAACCTGTGAATAAAGAAGCTGGATTCTGTTAATGTAATGTGGCAACCTTGTTTACCACTACACTCTGGATGCTAATGCTCAGTCGCCATCTTTGTTTTCACTCAGTTGCTGATGAGCCTGAGAAATGAAGTGTCTTCAGCATCATTGGTATGGTTGACTTAGGATCTGTCCAATCACAAACAAGAGTGGTCCTACCTTTTTATAATCAGATTTTTTTTGGTTTAAAGTCTTGTTTTGACCTTCAGGGCCACCATACATACCACACCACACACCACAGTGTTCTGCCAGTTGTAATCTTTGATAGTTGTATTTGCCTGTTTGCCTTTGTGTTTCTTCCAGGTCATTCTTAAAAATAGATTTAACTCTCCATTGAGGCATTAACCTGGTTGAATAAAGGATTTTTTTTTTACTTTGACCTCTCAGATACACACATTGTATGTACACCCAGTCATCTGACGTCTGCTCACCTCTCGTTGTTGGTGACATCAAGATGTCTGTGAATGGAGAGGAAGGCCTGCTTTAAAAAGCTGATCCTCTTCCTCTCCTCCTCCTGTGACTGCTCAAAGATGGCTTCCATCTCCTCCATGTAGCGGGGAGTGTATGACGTCACATCCTCCAGAAGTTTCTCATAGTGCTCTCTACACTGAAACAACAACAACGGTTTTATGATGAAACAGAGCCTAACATTGTGCATGTTTAATTAAGGGAAGATTTCAAAGGTATAAATCATGTTGGGCTCTTTTAGCGTTCCCATGCTGTGCTCAATAAACACTGAGCGTAGTAACAATAACACTTCTCCGTACAAGGACATGCTTGGAGCAGAAATTTAAGGCGGGGATTTTGTGTCTAAAGCAGATAAATATCACCACATCCAGCAGGACAAACAAACTCTCTGAAAGTACTTTAGACTTTAGACTTTAGACTTCATTGTCCCCGAAGGGAAATTCTTTTTCACAACACCGTTACTGTCCAACAGACAAGTCCCACAAAAGAACATTCATACACAGAAAAACCGAGTATAACACAAACAAACAGAGTTAGACAACAGTCAAAAGTTCCCACTCTGGCCTGTTCAGCGAGGCCTTTTGTTCAAGACCGTTATTACAGCGGGGATCAGGCTCCTCTCAAGGCGAGCCTTTCTGCACCTTAGTGCTCTATACCTCCGTCCTGAGGGGAGTGGGGCGAGGTGAGTGTTCAGTGGGTGTGTGATGTCCTGTTCTATTGAGGTTGCAATGCGTGTGATGGCCCTGTTATTGAATTCTGTTAGGTTGGGTGTGGGGAGACCGATTATTCTGGCAGCTGTGGTTGTGATGTGTGTGAGTTTGGCCTTGTTTTTTACATCATGTTTTAATCCAAGGCTTGTTGTTAATAAGAGACTGTGGATTTAAATGTGCTGTGGATTAAGTTGTTATTGAACATGCAAGTGTGTGCATCCTTCCTCACCTTTTCTTTCTCCTCTGTAGTCCTCTCTCTGGCATCTGTGAATTTCTGCTTCTTCTCCGGACTCATCTCAGAGTTTTCATTTACTTGTTTCTCTTTGTCGAGCGCCGTAGCCTCCCTCTGACAGGACTTGTGATATGCAACACGGGCCTTCTCCAGCTGTTGAATACACATCCACACACATCACTAGTATACGTCGAAAGGAAAAGTTTGACATCACATGTCAAACTCTAAAGCTGTTTTCACACATGGTCGCCAGAAGAAGTGTCATCAGAGAACGAGTGGAACAGAACATACCGGTGAGCAGACAATGCTACGAAGCCTCTTTATTATGAGCACAACATGCACTATTTGCATGGCTTGAACTTTAATAGAGAAGAGGTAAATATAAGCTTATGAGTTTTCAGGTGCATGTTACAGTTTCCATCAGTAAGACAATTTGGCAATTGCTGGATTTTTCCAATTCCATTTGCTGATGCAGACTCAATTTCATTTCAAAGCTGCACAACAAAGCAAGTTGACGCTGAGAAGAATCTAGGCTAACTACTTGTTTCTTATTGCATGACTACTGTTTGAGCAGAAACATGAATCTAAATGACAGCTGACCTTCAGGAGCTTTTTGGACCAGGGTTTCTGGGCCCGTGAGAAACTTGTGTTGTTGTCGTGGCTCTCTCTGAACCCACAGAAGATCCTCTTTGGGAAGGTCTCCTTTTGCCAGGTCTTCACTCGCTCCCCTTCCTCTGCGACGAGCGACTGGGAGATGGACGAGTGGAGGTTGGACAGGCGCTCGGTGGAGGTGAAGAAACACTGCCACGCCTTCATGAGGGAGCCGTATAGCGGCCCTGGAAGAGAAGAAGAAGAAAGTGAAGGTGGGGGGGGGCAGAGGTGAGTCACCAACAGAGAAGTAATGACCATCATTTGTCTGCTGGAATGTTCAAACAAACACAGATGTGTAGCCGTTAAAATATAATCAGGCTAGGTGAGATGCAGGGTTTCTGTAGTAATCGGCATGTTTTCTGAAGTTTCATAGTCAAAGACAAATCAGTATTTTGCACATTTTTTACTTTTTAATCAATATTAATTAAATTACCGGTAAACTTTTTCTTGAGTGATTTGTTAACTTGTTGTGTTAACTTGATGAGAGCTGACATGATGAAAAAGGGAATTCATGTTTTCAGAAAGGACTCATACTCACGAGAATCGATGATAGACTTCCACTTGCCGCTCCACTGACTGAGCTGCTGGGCGTACTGTTTCTCCACCCTTGCTCTCTCCATGAAGCACGCCACGATGTCGTTGCAGGCCTGGTAGGACTGCTCCGTCCGGGTTACCGTGCGACTGTAATTCCCCGGCTGGGAGGAGAGGAAGATGACGCATTAAGAACAGGATTAGTTGCAGATTTCCAAAGCACTGTTTTGGAGGTGTCCTTCAGCTGTTGGTGTTTCCGATATTTTTTATTTTTTTCCCTCACCATCCAGAAGCTCTTTTTCTTGGCATCCTCAGGGGGCTCTTTGGGAAGGCTGGCCATGACTGTGAAGGTGTCTGCCTCAGAAGGCGAGAGACTGCTGTTTGTGTTGTACAAGAGAGTTGCTCGACTGCTTACATAGCATAGTGAGCAGGGAGAGACAGATTTTTATTGGCAGACAGGTGCAACTGACTATCAGACAACAGGTTGGACATGTACACCATGTAACGTGCAGAGCCAATTAACTGCCTGATAGGAAACAAATAGCAATCAAACTTTGCTTTGTTAGAGTGTTGTTGCTGAGATAATTGCCATAACAACTTGGACCAGTCCTGACGAGGTGTGATTTACAGTGTACAGATGCATCCATAGCCGCGTGCGTGTGAGTAAGGGGAGCGTGGTTGCAGTGGCAGACTGAAATTCACAGGGGTGGGGATCTGCCAGCAGGAATAGAACAGCTGCTCAGGCATTCTTCCTGTTGCCTTCCCAAAATAAACAGCAGGGAAAGGTCATCTTTCCCCCTTTGCTCTGAGTAATACAAGGCCCATTAGAACCAACTGTCTCCCTCTGCGACTCCATTCAGAGATCAGGACCACAAAAGGAGTGGATTTACGATCCGTAGAGCTAAAAGGAATGCAGGATTTAGAAGTAAGAAACCACAAAGATAACAGAGGTTTTTTTTTTTCACATAAAGCAAAGCATAAGTACATTAGCGGGTGAGGACAGATTAAACAAAAGGAAGGGACACATGCACAAACATGAAAAAAAACCCACAGTCATATTTGGGCCTATTTGTGTCTGAGTAACACGCTGACACATTGCTGGCTGAGTAATGTGAAAGTGACTAACCACACCTTGTCACAAGACTGAGCATGACACAGAGGAGTGTTATTCCCTCAGCTGCTTGGTTGTGTTATTTTCACCCTGTTTTTCACTTTAAATAAAGCTCCTTTAAAGTGCAAACATTTCCTCAACGTGCCGTAGGAAAAGCAGCTCGTCCTCAGGTTTTATCTTTAAGGAAGTATTCGTTTGATTTCAATGCCGAAAAAAAAAAATCTCCATCCACAAGCAAGCAAGAAACAGAAAAAAGTGGCAACCAAGCAGCCATGCCTAGGAGAAACCCCACACTTACATTTGTCTCTGAGTGACCAGTGATTGTTCAAGTGACCACTTGTTACTGTAGTTGAAGGGCTTGCTGAGGGTTTCTCTCCATTTCTGTGTCGGTCGCCCCCTCTCTCAGTGTGCCTCTCTCTCTCTCCTCCTCTAACACATGCTCCTCTCCCTCTACTCTCTCACTGACCCAATTTTCCCTTAGCACTTAAAGTTACACACACACACACACACACACACACACACACACACACACACACACACACACTAACCGTTGTTGTTGATATGAAAGTGGGCGTGAGACACGGAGACAATAAAAATAATGGAATCAGACTGTTCGCATGGTAATCATTTGGCTGCTAATTGGCTTCAGGGCAAACAAAGAAGGAGGAAGGCTTACCTTGTTGCTCTCCTCCTCCGTCAGCTGTTGTGGTGCACTGGATGAACTTCTTCTCCTACTTTAACCCCATCTTTTGCTTCTTTAACTCACCAGCTTCCTCTCTTTTAGGCTTCTACCCCTCTTTGACTTTCTCTCCACTCTGCTGTCAGAAACAAACAGCTGGAAGAATCCCCCCCCTCCCTCCCTCTCTCTCCCTTCCCTCCCTCCCTGTCTCTCTCTCAGTATGGTGCTAATGAGATGCTGAACCTTCATTTTGACAGTTTGCTGGTTACAGAACAGTGTCAGTGTGGCACAGAGTCATGTGAGCTTATTAGTGAGAGAGTGTGACAGCAAAAAGGGGAGGGGGGGCCCGTGAACTACAATTAGCCCCCTTGCCCCCTTTGTGACCTGTCATTCTGTGTGTGGTCAGGCCTGGAAAGAAACAGCAGCATGCTATGTTCACCCACAAATTGTTTACTTACTCTTCTGGAGATAAAAGGAGAACGTAGACAGTTACAGTTTTGTTATTTCTGTCACCATCTTGTTTTTATCTCTCAGTCTTTTTGGAATTAATGCTGTTTGTAGATCGAATTTGCAAACTCATTCTAACAGCTCACCCAGAGCCAGAGTATCTAAAACACCACTTTCACCACCCACCATGCAAGTCATTTGTACTTTTATATTTTCAGGTTTGATTCAGAGGCTTCACATCAAAGAGAGCATGTTTTCTATAAGGTTCTGTTTATGTGCATTTTACACATCTTATATAGAAACGGAGAATGTGTAGTGCTTTTAGCCTATAAATGTTTTAATATCATATTTTGTTTCTGTCTCCTTTCAGGGAACAACAGAAGTAAATGAGTTAATAGCTAACTGTGGTATTTACAAGTACTTGTGTTGTGCGCACAAGATATTAGGTTATGGAGCCCCTGAAGTCCCAAAAAGTAAAAAAACAATATAATTATCTTGCGCACAAGATATATATATATATATATATTTTGGACTTCAAGGTTTTGAAATAAAGTTTGAGTGTTATCATTCACTCACATCTAAGTGGGCATTGGCTGCATTAAGAAATGTATTATTATCTGCCATGATGAAATGCTGGAGTCTTACCATGATTTAGCCTTAATTAATGTCTCAAAATATAAACGTATCTGCATGCAAGAAACGTCCCCTTTTAGAAGTTGGGTCTCAACACCAACCTCATCCTCGCTTCTCTTGTTGCTAGTTTATCATACTCAAACATTTGAAAAACATTTTATTTTTGGGCTTTTTAGTGGATAGAGTCAGAAATCAGGGAGCCAAAGAGTGGGGAATGACATGCGGGAAAGGAGCCTCAGGTCGGATTCAAACCCTAATTCTAACATCCTCTGTAATTGGTTGCGCGCACCAAACACTAAGCTACCGGTGCTCCATTGTTCCCCTTTCTTCCTGCATTTTTTAAATCTTGTATTCTGATTTTATTGATGATAGTTTAGTTGGTGATTGTATTCTAGAGGTGTCATCATTACTAAAACACTACAAAGTGTTTTGAAATAAAGCTTACCCTCTCATACAAAACACTCATAAATACAGAAAAAGTATGTTCATAGATTCCCTGAACAACGGTGCAGTCTAGTCCTGTGAAGGCTGTTTCGTTATGAGCCAGCCGAAGATTTCTGTCTTTTAATAAAACAGTTTTTTCTTACCACTGTAACTTTTGCTGCTTTGCCAAAGTGCTCATGATGGATAGGCCGGGTCTTTGTAATATAACAATAAGTAAGGTCTTTTACCTGCTTTTTGTAACATAACAATAAGTAAGGTCTTTTACCTGCTTTTTGTAACATAACAATAAGTAAGGTCTTTTACCTACTTTTTGTAACATAACAATAAGTAAGGTCTTTTACCTGCTTTTTCTAACATAACAATGAGTAAGGTCTTTTACCTGCTTTTTGTAACATAACAATGAGTAAGGTCTTTTTACCTGCTCTTTTGTAATGTTAACAGACAAAGAGTAAGGTATTTTACCTGCTTTTTGTAAAGTGTCTTGAGATAACACTTGTTATGAGTTGACGCTATACAAAATAAATTGAATTGAATTGAATTGAATTGAATAGATTCTGTATCACTTTGGTGTTTTCCTCCCACTCTTTCAGATGCATGTCACTGTTGCCTAGCAACGACTTTTTCTAGATGTTTTCACACTGTTTCAAAGCAAAAAAAACCTAGCCTATACCTTTCAGTTATAACAAAGGAACAAATTGTCTCAAAGATTATGCTGAGTACTTGTGGTAACGAGCCAAATTAAATGTGCATTCCTTTTTTTCTCCCCAACCTGGGCCCTATTTTCAGATGATGATTGTCTGTGTGAATGTTCAGTAGGTTCAAAACGTTTTTGAAAGCTCCAGCTGTAGTAAACAGCCACACCGTTAAACACAGTAGCAGTACTTCAGCTGTAATGTGTGTGTATATGTGTGTGTGTGTGTGTGTGTGTGTGTGAAGATGTGTAGCTTTGCACTGTTAATCACTTTTCTTAACTATTATATGTTTATGGTTTTAGTAATGGAATGTAATGATTATTTAACTGACATGTTTTACCGATGAATGAATGTATTTTGTTATTTTGCTACTGCATCAGAGCTCTGTGACGTCCAAGACAAATCTCCCACTGGGACAATAAATTCATCTTAATCTTAATCCATTGAGGTACTCCTGTACATTTTTGGGGGGAATTACTTTTTACAAAAACAGAGAGTTCCGAAAACTGGCCGATATGTCTACATGCAACAGAACCCTAAAGTCTTGAGGAGTATTGCAGGAACGTATACAGACTTCTAGAAACCAAGATCTGGGCTTATTCAGATTCTGAAAGCAGGATATCATGTTGCAAAATCAAGATTATCACCAGAATACTAGAGTGCATGTTAAAATCATTCAGAAATGTTAGACAGCACTCTTGACCACTATAATCAAAGCTATTAGAATGAATGCTTTTAAAGAAGTTCATAAACTCTGTTCTGTTGTTTTTTTTTTCTCCCCTGGAAGTTGTATTGTACTGTGAGAAGAAAAAGTCAGACTTTTGTTTTTGCCCAGGGAGAAGAAACTCTCTAACTAAACTACAAGCAGATTCTAGCTAGAGGAATACAAAGAAGAAACAACCTGGACTATTGGCACAAACTTTTAAAAAGTGTTATGTTAACAATTTTCCACCATGAACCCTAAACCCACCATCATGCTAGCGAACAATGTCACAGTCATCTCCTTCCAAGTTGTTTCTCATTGTTTTCTTGCCTTACAGGCGTCTTTTGGGTTTCCTGCATGAACACAGCCTCCGCTTGCTTTGAATTAAGCCGTCTCATCTGCTCCCTCCCTGCGAGCACTTCTCTGTTGTCCTATTAGCTCACGGGCCTGATGGGAAAAATAATTCTGGACCTGAAAACAACGTGGTGTTCAAGCACCACAGGGATGAAACAAGTTGCTGCCAAATGACTCAATTCAAACACAGCACGTTTGATTGTATCATTATGAGAATCTGTCGGAGGAGGAGAGAATCACGACAGGGACAAAGTTTTATTTGAGCATTTATTTCAACACCTTAATTGTATCTCTATCATATAGTTTATCAGTATATATTGTAATTTATTTCAAAGCAAAACTTTATATATGTATATATTTATATATATACCTTTTATGTCTGCATACTTACTCTCATACTGTAAATAGTCATATTCATTATGCATTTCACTAGACCTAAAATACTCTTTTAAATTATAAGATGTAATGCTTTCTACACTACTGCTCAGTCCTTTCACTTCTCACAACAGCTCAGCATGAGAATACAGAGTGATAATCTCAAACTCACACAGAGAAATCAGGTATTAACTGACGAGTGTGGGCTTCACCGGGGTCACCACACAGCCAGCAGTATAGAAAGCATTTACAGAAAAAAACTTAATGAAAGAAAAACAAGGCTTAAAAGAAGATTTGTCTACACTGTTTGGAAGACAGAGATTCTTAAAGATGTTTACATACTTAATATTATCTTTATTATACTATGTTTTCTTGTTATCATTTTGAAGTCATCATTACATATAGATCTCTAAATGATGTGTTTTTACCTCACAGTTGATTTCACTGAAGGGAATGGCTAAACTGGCCCAGGGCTCTCATGTTTCCCTCCATTAAACATCTACAGAATTAACTTCATCAATCTGACAAAGGGAAGTGGAAAGTGGGTATTTCTTTTGAAAAGTTCACGTGAAACGAGGGGAAAACATTTGAGATTGTCAGCTATAGTGAGAAGAAAAACAATGTTTGTCTGAACATTGTAAATATGAATTTTTGGAGAAAGGCATCATAAAGAGAAAGGTGTAGGTCAGGGAAAGCATTTGGCCACCGACGCAGGCTGACTAACATTTGCGCACAGAATCAGACACACAGACTCACAGAGGCTGAAAGGCTGAGGAGGTCAGGCAGACAGAGAAGCAGTAAAAAGCCCTTTTTGATCACCTGCTGTGTGAGAGAGAGCGGTCGACGTTATGGCATCAAAGAGGATAGAAAAACAAATCCTCTGACCTGTGCTATGGCCATCAACAACATAAGAGTCGGAGAAGAGTTGATCTGTAGTTTGAAATGACACCCGAACCCTTTTCATGTCTTCTCCTTTTAAAAATAATTATAAAGATAATTTCACAAAATTTGTACGTCCTCATTATGCACAACTTGAACTCAACGATTATGAATACCCTGAACAGTTTGAAATGAATGATTGTGATGAGCACATATTTCAAAACAAATGGCTCTACTTCTGGTGAATCTGTTTAACAAGTCAGCAAACATACAAAGCTTATTGGGGCATCTTTTAGGGAAAATATGGCAATTACGGTATATAAAAAGAATACTATTATTGTCCAATGTTTTCAAACAAACCTCTCTCTCTCTCTTATAAACCCACTTTGGCTACTTTGCTCACTGCCTTCCGATGCTCTGGTCTGCTTAAAGCTACAAAACTGATGTTAGGATGTGACTCGTGTGTTTTCTGGCTCAGACGCAACCAGGAACATTTCATGAGGATTAACCATATCAGCAGAACTTTCTCAACTTTTCCTGTGAACTCGTCTCAGTGCTGCCTGGCAGCAGATGGTGTGAGAATCCATCTGTCGATGTGTGTGTATGTGTGTTTGTCTG